TAAAGTATGAGTTAGCGGATCGCAATCCGCTTACTACAAGAGTGATTATTGCCTTCCGAAGGCTAATCGACTCTTCGGTTTGAATTCCAGACTAATTTTTATTTATTAATTTATCCTAAGTTTAAAGTTTAGATTTTTCTAAATTATCTAAATATATATAGTAAATTCTAAATACATGCATAACTACTGGCTATCTAGCCCCGTACCGTATTCTTGTTTGGGTGTGTGGTCACACCATGCACAACTCGTGTGACACACACCCCTGTTATTAGGGTTCGTGTAACCTCGTTACATAATAGGTCTCCAGGCACGGCGCGGCTCTCGCGACCGACACGCATAACAATCATGGGAGGACGCCAAAGCGTTTTCAAAAGAAAAAGTTTGATCTGCCGCCGCGGAGCTCATTTTGATACCCATCTCGTCACCAATGAGCAGAATATGGCTTACAAAGTCCAGCTTTGTATACTACAAGCGGAAAGGTCACACAGACTTTTGACCAAATCGTATGTCGTGAATACGGCTTCAAACCGTCTCAAGTCATTAGCTGGCTTGTGCGGGCTTTTGCTAAGTTTTATAGCAGTTCGATTTCGTTTAGGACGCTCCGTGAGCTCTTGGATTGGTAAATTCGTACTTTGCATGCAGGATGTTTCGAGCTTACTTGAAGCCGGTAAAAAAACCAATATAGATTACACTTCTTTGCGCTCATTTTAAGGAAAACAGATTGTCTTGTTCGCCTTAAGGCTTTGCTAACTCTCTTTTGTGTCGCGGACTTCTCTACCCTTGTTTAAATTGGCAAAGTACATAGCACGACGTGGTTCATCGAGATGACGATCTATCACCACAACTTTCTTCTGCTTACAACACCGCTTTTATCCTTGAGACAGCTGTCACAGCCACCGACCAAGAATCCTATTCACCGCCAGATAGTTGCCACCCAAATTGAAAAAGCACACCCCTACGGGCGGTTCTTTTTTCTCTATAAGGCAGATAATGACCGAGGGTGCACGTGGCCACAGTACCAGGGCAAGCTTACCGAAGTGGTACTTCAGCTCTCAATATTTGCTGTTACGGGATATCTGCCGCTTTACCATGTTCTTCTGGTAACATCTTTATAGTATTTGCTGTCCAACCTTCTATTCTATGTGAGTGGGCCAGCACTTGCTCATTAAGCAGTTATGGCCGATGTCCATCCTCCAGCGTCTGACCCTCGTGATCTCGGTGCATTGGCTCTATTCACGAGTCTGGGTCAGCAGCCGAAGCTGGGATGGGCCCGTTTTCGGCACGACCTTTGTGGGCCCATGTAGATCACAAGATGTGTTCTTACTCTCTTTATGCTTGTAACTGGGCACACAAGATAATGTGATCGCACAATGGTGTAGTCACAAACGATGATGTGACAGCATTAAATTGTGGCTTCACTTGAACAGCAAGTCAGTGCGTGGCTGGGACAGCCAGTACTTATACACTTAATTAGGTTCTACTATACATAGAAGAACCTATAGATTTAGATATAGGCGGCTTTGCCGCAAATAGAGCTGAGAAATACAGCTTACATTTATAAGGAGGGGTTATCTAGCATTGGGTTAAGGTTGTATTTACTCTTAGAATAAGCGGATTACGATCCGCTACACTCGTACTGGTTCTAATTATATAACGAAGGTCTAAGCTTCCTCTAAGCAAAAGAGCTACGTCAGGTCCACTACACTCGTGTACTGGTTCTAATTATGGAACGAAGGTCTAAGCTTCCTTCAAGCAAAAAAGCTACGGTAGGCCCGCTGCAGAGATGGTAAGAGTATGATTAAAAGTCCATTTTGCTAGGAACGTGGGAGAGCACGGTCGCAACTTTGTTTAGTAGACGCATGTGACAGTAAATTTACTACGTTCAATATTACTTTTGCCCCCCATTTATTTGTGTGTGTTCCGCCTGCCTCTTACATTAGCTTGCTACTTTACATTCTGGCTCTCGACCACAGCGTCGCGCGCCCTGCGCATGATGCTTCATTTCATTGAGATATAAGTGCTGATTTTGCTTCGATGTGTATTCGGGCAAATATAAGCAAGTCGAACTAGATCAACAGACCCCGACTAGAAGTCAAATCACTTTTGGCTGTTTCAGAGGCCCCGAGGTTCACCAGACCATATATAAAAAATATGGCTCATTTTGTAGAGGCGTATACTGTGATAATTAGCGCAACCGTAATGCGTGAGAGCAACTTCCTTCAAAACTACGGTCTCTCTGCGGACATACTTTGGAAGATTTCCACCGTCGCCCGATCATAGCGTTCCGTCCGACCATCATTTTGCTGTTGGCACATCTGATCTGGCGCCGAGCACTTAAACTATGTCCGCCAAAAAATCGATGCTTAGCGTGATATAATCACTACTGGTAATCCATGTCGTCAAGATTCTTTGGCAAAGAACAGCTTGTCTGTATCCTCATCGGTCGCACACTCGTTGACAGCAGCGGGATGGGCTATCATGGGTATATGATCCACAAAGACCGCGTTACCGGTATCACTGTTCGATCTTTTCGAAGCCCAAACAATAGTCCATACTAATGGACTGCAAAAAATGAAAGACTGGACAAGAGCACCACGCATGTGGCTAAGCTTGCACCTGTAGACTTGCGCGTAAATGCGTATACATGCTAAGCCACCAAAACATAGCGTCCACCGAGCAGAATGTCTTTTCTCCTCCATATCAGTCATTCAGGGGAGAAACATATGCCTTGTACAGGATTTCCTACGGAAGGTCCTCATCGTTATGCACCACTACAGTTGACTGTTAGAAAGGCTAGTGCTGTAATGCAGCAAGGTTAGGAAAAGGCATGGCTGTGCAGAAGTGCAATCGCGCGCCTTGATTTAGTGACACCTGAGAACTCAGACTCCCTGTAACTCAGAGATTTAAAAAAAGCTGTGCATGTTGCATCCGTCCCATACATCGAAAGTATTAATGACGCCACATGTGTAACATGCGGCTAGTCATAGTTGGGGTGTCGCGAAAGCACACCCACCACTGCATGGAGCCGAACCAGCTCATATTGTACCCAAAAGGTTTTCTCGTCGAGAGCAGAACCGTCCTGCCATTTTCTGTAAGTGATGCGGTGACAGTGTCGCTGTGTGCAACGGCGAATGATCTCAACAGATCGCAAAAGGCTTAAAGCCAATCAGATATACACCCTAACTTTACAATGGCATCGCACATAGCCATGGACAGGGTACTCCTTTTCTTGCAGCTTTATGCTGGCAAACTCAAATGCGATCCCGCATTCATGGTTATTGGCACCTGCTTGGAAGCCTTTTCCACAGGCCAAAGGCTTAAGCGTCACTAACAATGTGAAATGGTCAATCAGGATTTGAAAGAGCCACATTTTGGGCACACAAGAGGCTTTCTTTTACCGCCTTCGAAGTAGCGATTTCTGCCGTACTCCGCACAATTTGATATATTTTCTAAAAATCTGACTTGCATTTGTACCGTGTAATCATTGTATTGCGAATGTGCATGTTTTTGAATAGGCCAAGACAATTTCGAAGTACTTTTGGAACAGAGGCAGTGGTCAATCTACAACAGCCGTTATCTTGGCGGGATCCGAGATCACATCGCGCGGTAGTGCTAATCCAGTTGAACCGTCACATCATTATAAAAAAGAAATATTCTTTTTATCCTCAGGGTGTGCCTCTTCCACTCTCGACTTATAGTCCATCTTCTGCTCCTATGGCTCTGCACGTAAAGCTGCAACACTTAGTCGCTTTCACTCTCCACCTCCCCTAGCATAGACAAATACATCTCACAGCTGTACTTTACCGTCCCACCAAAGATACACTCTAAGATTCATGACATACAGTCAAACTTTTCAAAATTAATATATGAGCTTTCAGAGGACCGAATTTTATAGCCATTTTTATGTCTTATCCTAAGACTGCGGCTGACTGCCGCTTCTGGCTTCTAAAATCTTTCTTTGGGCGCCTTTCAGTTTAAACAAACACGCACTCTACTCGACAGCTATCACAGCTTCGTATCTGCACCAGACGCTCTTCAGCTTTCTGAAAAAGGTAAATACACAGCTCGTCGAGGAGATAAGCGCGCTTTGTAGTCCGACCATGGTCTGTGGCCTTCCAGCGACGTTTTTTTTAAGATTTGATCGCAATTTAAATCCAGGCTAAGGAGAACATAGCTTTCCAAGATATCAGATTCAAAAAAATCAAAAGAACGCGCAAAATTATTGTCGACACTTTAAGTAATATATCATGACTTTTCATGGCTACGCAAAACCCAATAAAAGTTATCAGCAACCACCAGCCATATGCTGCGAGTCCCGAATTCTAAAGAACGCGCCGTTTTATTTAATTTTCGTGTCTTGTTAGCCGCGATGTCTATATCAGGGCGCCTTGTGCCTACCGGGGCTCAACGTTTTTCCAGGAGGAATACGTCATTCGCCTATGCATGACGTTTCAGTCCTCCCCACCTTCTATCCAACAGCAAATAATATATGAAAAGCCCAGGTATCTGCTACTGCATACACTGAAATTTCTTCGAGCTCCACGATGCTGCTCGGAAGCCAAGAGATTGCTTTCTCCTCGTCACCGGACTGAGGCCGTACGCTTCCGGAGCAGTCATAGAGCTTACACCTACGTTTCCACAGGACTTTATGGCCCAAATGTTATTATTCGAACAAAATGTGACGCTTATCGCTCTCTGAAAAGAAGTGTAGTGAATGCGAAAGGTCTCAGAGCACTCGAAGACCCTCCATGAAGACGGCATTCTTCCATTGCAGCGACATGGGTATTCAACCTGGGCGTATCCTGCCCGTTTTGACTTCCAACGAAGGATAACATTAGCTTCAAACGCACTGTATTCACTGAACTATACGACCGCTCGCGAGCACGCACCACACAATGAATACACAAACAAAACATTTGCTAAGCATAAAAAAACACCATGCATGGCATTAGCACATTTACAAACGTCGATGTCTCCCAGATGATAAAGTCGATTCACGACTTCGTCGTGAGATTGACTTCAAAAGCTATCAAATGCATCGGGTTTACCGAGCACTTTGTACGGAGAAAGCTTTGACTCGAAGGGTTTGCGTTTTCAAATGCACATAGGCAGAGTTCGTGTGTTCCAACCAGGAGCGGCCTCTACCATAATCAGACGTCTGGGCAGCTCTGCTATTTCATGAGGGTCCACCTTCTGAACTAGCTCTATGTGAACCATTACTAAATACATACCTTTAATTATCTTTTATAGCAAAGCTGTATCTACTTTCTGACGTGCGATTCATCAAGTAAGTGACATAATGCTTTAGTTGTACAAAATGTGAATGGAGTTGAAGTACACGAAATTACAGTACTGAGCCCGTTATATTTCAGTTGTGTCTACCTGAGTGCCTTCGCCTTATTACAGAGTTCAAAGCAACATTTACCACGAAAGAGCGTCGGCGCACTCATAACATCGGTGAATGACATGTATAAAGAGTCAAAAATCAACTCAAATGGTGACATGTCTTTTTCTCTTCCGACCGGAATGGTAATAAATCTGCAGAGGATATACGTAAGCTACCACGAATGGGGATGTATAAGCTCCGAAGAGCGAAAGTTGCCTTAAGTTTGTCCAGAAGTCGAGTTTATACGTCAACGCGGTTCTATTTCTCAAGGCGCCAAATTATGGCAGCGCGTCAGACTACTCTAATGTCAAATACATTCAGTTAAAAGTTTGTCTATACGAAACAAAGTTTGATGTGATGACTTCACAATTACATCCGCTAAGAATATACACAAAAGGAGCAAAGCTAGTAGTAACACACAATCTCATGGGGTACTCACATCTGGGAGAGAATTCTGACCGTGGTGGGACTCAAATTCACACTCAGTGGATTGAACCGCAATCCCACATATCGATTTCGTGGTAATTGTAAACCTTATCAAAAGGTTTAATATCAAAATTTAAGTAGAAACTTAGGAAACTCACCCAGAAGATAATCTTGCTCACCTTTAACCCAACATCTTAAGTGTGTATCTTCACTTTGATAGAAATAAGATTTAGCAGACCAAAATCTTTTGACCTGCCATACGAACCATCGGTGATACTACAGGTGGTACTTTCTGTCTGTAGTACTTCGCAGACGCTGAAATTAGATAGAATTTAATTACTGTTAATTTGACGGGCAATCGCTTTTTCCTGAAAAAAAATCAGCGCAACAATCAAACCGTAACGACCTAAAGCCACTGCAAAAATAAAAATAAGATTTCTATGGTCTTGCTGGCGCATCGATTTTGCGCTGTCTGGCTTCTCATAATGAAGCCCAAACGGAAAACGCATCGATTTGAGTAGAATGCGGTTCATGAAAATTCTTAATTTGCAAACTTCGCTATTATCACAGCAGCGAAATTCTGTTTGCATGCTGTATCGGAAAAAGTATAGCTGGAAGTCAGGTTATTGAAACGGTAGGCTTTTTAAAAAGGCGGAAAAACACAACACATCTTGCTTTCAATTGAATTTTTGACGAAAGCACATAGTGAAGAGATCAATCAATGTCCTGTTGTTTTGTATTATTTGTGTGTGATCGACGTAATTTCAGACCTGATTGTGAGGGGTCTTGTGTCTTAATAGTCGTTATTGGATTCCAGAAACGGATCTTTGCACGAGGTTTTTCCCTTTCAAAAACCTCTTTTGCTATTAATGGCAAAAAGACATCAGGGGGCGAGTTTCGCGACATAATCTCTAACAGGTGCGTAGGAGCATGCGTTTAGTTGGGGCCGAAGCTGCTCCAACATAAACGTCAGCTGTCTCACTACGTCTCCTGTGTTCTTACAGCCCAGTTTTCTGACCCACCGAAGCAAATCTTTTTCAATCTAAACATAATAAAATGCTGGCTCAACTTGTAGCTGACGTGTGTCCGTCGTCGGCCTCTTTCTTCGGCTTTATGGGCGTTGCATCTGCCCTAGTATTTGCCAGTACGTGCCGAATCTGTAGCAGTCGTGAAGTCCTAATGCTATCACTGCTTAAGGTTTTCTACCGTAGTATTTGAAAATGTCACTTACTTGTTGCGGTTGCTTTTTCCTCTACAGACCTTGGAGCAGCGTACGGCACCGCCAAATCTGGCGTGGGTATTGCGTCGATGGGTGTGATGCGGCCTGAGCTTGCGATGCGTAATATTATTCCGGTCGTCATGGCTGGTGTGCTTGGTATCTATGGTTTGATTGTTGCGGTGATCATTCAGGGCTCGATTGACCCACCGAATGGCAACTCACCAAAATACGGCTCGTACTCGGGCTTTGCACACTTGGCTGCTGGCTTGTGTTGTGGTCTTAGTGGACTAGCCGCCGGCATGGCCATTGGCGTGGTTGGTGATGCAGGCGTGCGCGCTGTGGGTCAGCAGGAAAAGCTGTTTGTGAACATGATTCTTATCTTGATTTTTGCGGAGGCTTTAGGTCTTTACGGTTTGATTGTCGCGCTGATCCTTTCTCAGAAGAAGAGCGACTGCCCTTCAGAGTAAGCACTCGTAGACATTGTCGCAGTCTTTTGAGCGTTTCGAGTCATACTTGGAGACTATATGCTTAACTTCGAACATGATGTACTAGCGAGAGTAATGGCAGAGGCCTAAAAACTTAATAAAGCTATGCATTTGATAACCAAGTTTGAATTTTGCGAAAATTGTGTGATGAAGGCTGTAATTTTGAAAAAAAAACAAGTTTGAGAAAACGATTGATAAGTATTACTCATGGCGGAGGAATACCGGCAGCGGCTAGACAACAGTGTGGAGAAGCTAGTTGAGAATTTTAAGGGCCTAATCAAGACCTCTAAGATCAAAGACTCTGCTAACACTACACGTGAGGCATTCCAGAGCTCCGTCTACGCCACTACATTTGTGCAGGCCAGCGAGTCACTACTCAAGCTTGTGTCCGAAATGAAACTATCTCTGGCGCTCGGTGACTTTGAGGGTATGAGCCAAAATGTCGACACGACCTCCGACGAATTACTTAAACGGTGACGCTGAGTGCATGTCAACCATTACAATACTATTCGCAGCTGATGTGTGCAATGTGACAGGTGCGACGATGTGGACGCGCAAATTTCACACTTAAGCTCCGACATTTCATCAGCACTGTTTGAGCTGGAAAATCACTTCTATCAGTCCAAGTGGCGGATCTCGCCCATACCAGATATCGATGAGACCTCGTGAGATATTCGATGCATTTGACGTAATAAAGTAACAAATTATCGAAAGCTACCCATTATGCAAAAAAATCAAATAAGAATGCCACCATTAGTATCCTCATCCTCGTCTTCCTCGTCTTCGTCTTCATCAGCATCAGCATCATCCAATTCAGGTGTCATCTGGGAAGCCAAAAGCATCGAACCTGAATGAGAGACAGAGTTGACTTGATTCTGTGTGGCTATTGCTGCAGAGGTTGCGACAGCCATGCCGCCCCTAAGAGTGGTATGAATGCCGTTCAAAGCGTTTTCCTTCATCCGCCACTCATTCATTCTCCGCTGATTTTCAATCTCTGTCATGGGAATATAGCTGCAAATCATCTAAATCAGAATTTGATGCTTTGCTCTTATGTCCAGGCTTTTTATTCATACCTAGCTCGTTCTTTCTCGGAAAGCTTTTGCCACATATCTCCAAGAATTTTAGATGCATCTTTAGCACTGGCAGCGGGGTGATCTGCCATAACTTTTTTTCGGTTTTGTCTGCAAAACATCAGAAACGTATTCACTGGCTTAGGTGGTCGATTTGGCTTTGCTATCGGAAGCGGCGGTGGCATCAGGTGTATCGTAGGGCGGGATAATGGTCGCATCCGCTTAAAGTCTTCCCGCTCGAGCTGTGGGATGTCGTCCGCTAAGATATACTTCACTGAAGGACCCCATACTTCAACATCAAGGCGATCGCGGAACACAGCAGTGACAGATGGTAATTGAGATACTTTATCTTTGAAACCTTCTCGAATGAGCTGCCAAATTCTTGAACTCAGCAATTTTCAAAAAATCTAAGCGTCAAATGCAAAGTAGCTTACTTTTGAGTAATCGTGTAGCTGCTCGCGGATCGATAGTGCCACTTGGGCTTCAAATTCGCCACTCAAGCCCTGCGTACAATTAAAAAAATAGTGTTTATCACGGAGAGGACAGCAAGAATGGTTGATGGCTAACACACCAAGTCTTCACATACGACCTGGGCAAACCGCTCTGGAGAGTTGCTTGTATTGTTCAGATCCCACTCGAAACGATCAGTGTAAATGGTATCACATAGTCGTAAGTTGATATAAATCGGATGTAAGCTCTCGCCAGTAACAGCCTCGTGCCACGGAAGAACCGCCTGAGCTTTATGCACTTGCTCTTGGATTGATTTCGTTATACGCTGGTAAAAACAATTTGGAAGATCCAAGTCACGCACCAATGCCGCCGCAAAGGTCTCAAAAGTAAACTCTTTCTCGTGCCTGGGTACCATTGCGATCAGAGATACCCGACAAGTACGATTCAAGTAGAAGAACTACTTACAAATTCCATGAGAAAGAGTCGATGAACCGATAACCTTCGATATCTATATCGAGTCGGATAGGGATTAATAATTCATCGCGTGTCGGAAACTGCAAAGGCGCAACAGCAACATAAACATACAAACTGACGAGATGTTTAACTGAACACATAGCCAAATCTCACCTGAGGGTAATTGTACAGCTTCCGCTGTGCCAAAATAATACTTTCTTTCCTGCATCAGGCAAACGACGTATCAGATCGATGCCAAAAAAAAGTCTTAAAGCATACCTTCTAACTGCTTGCAATGGATCGTTCATTTCCTCCAACCTCCGCTTTAATTTTGGAGAGCTGGTAGTCGAAGTGAACACTTCAAGACACCAACATATGAGAATGAATAGCATATTGCTAGAAATTACTGAGGCATCATCGTACGCATCATGCCCTTGTCCATGGGCTTTCCTCCTCGTCGTCGAATCAGCCAAGATTCCATCAGTCCGTTGATCTGCACGACAAGAAAAGGTATTTCTTCAGCACTCTGTACTTAATGCGCGTATCAAGAGATAAGGTTTGAGGTATGATGACACGTACTCGACCAACGTTCCCTTTATACCTGCCCAGCATCCATTGCGACAGCATACTGGCATTGACGCCACATTCCTTCGAAACGTCCACTTGACGCAGTCCGAGGCGGTTTCGAAGCGCCTCCACCTGCCGACATCAAGTGACAATAGCATCAATAAATATACACGAGCTCAGCTTAAGGGTTACAGTATAACACCTCCTGCGAAAGCACAGATCGCTCAATCTCGGCATTGTCCTTAAGGCACGAAAAGCAATATTTTTAAGATAAGTGTATCGAAGAAGCAGCTTCTATTAAGGTCACAGACCCGACACGCACCGGCTGAACGTGTGCAAATTCTCCGACCATCGTTACGCGCTTTCAGCAACGATACTGGATTGGATAAAAATATCATGTCTAAATGGCGAATCAAGATCTAGGGCAAATATTGCGAGCGAACGGATGTAGTACGTCTGATCAAAGCAGTCAAACGCTGAAAAAGGCAAAAGAAACAACTGTTTGTCATAATCATCTTAAGCTTTTTGCAGACTGTAGCCGTAAAGTTGCGCCTTCTACACAAGTGACTCGACACATAAGTGTTGGATACCATACCCCCAATGCAGACTGGCACGATAATACAACGGAGTTGTCGTGCACTTTGCAATGAGAACACACCGTCTCAACGATCCCGCGTTAACTAACGCAAAGAGGTTGGACTCGTACGCTGCATCCAGGAACGGAATTAAGAATTACTACGACTAGTTTGCCCTGTTCATTTAAAAGTGGCAAAATGTAGAGAGTAATGATTTTTAGGCTGATGCAAAGTATATACTTAAGTAAAATAAGCGCTGTTACTCATCGAGCGACTAGCAGCCCATGTGTACCACAGGCCTCCTGTTTACGGGGTCCCATCATGCTCATACATATTGATATTTCGGCTCTTGAACATTCCAACGAATACTTAACAGTGCGATTTCCGTGACTCCTGGCCCAACACCTCCATTCTCGGCGGGAGATATACAACCAAACCAGCTGCCGAGGGCGAGACCTTAACCACATGTATCTTTTTCACTGCATACGTTGCGTACTTTATGCCTGTTTTAAAAGAAAGGGAGTGTTGCGACACCCCCGAGCAGCTTACGACGATATTTTACTTGGTGTCAAATTGGGCTCGGTTCAGGAAGCCCAGCTTGCTCTATAGATAGTGCTAGTGTCACGACAATTTGGCCTCGGGATTGAGGTTTTAGACGCCTGAGATCTGTTGCCAAAGCCTTTGCACGCATACGCCTGTGGGCGTTCCGGTGACACCGAGAGAACGAAGGCTAGTGCATCGCTCTACAAGCGGCTTCAAACCAGACACAAACCTTTCATAAGGTAAACTGAAAGCTAGCGAGACTTTTCACATGTTACGATTGCAAAATCTTGCATTGATAGACGCGATACTAAACGTGTATGGGTCAGCTGTACATGTGTTGTATTTCTGAACAATTTTGAAAAACAGAAAGTAAATGAACTCAGATACCGCTTCATTAAAGTGCTCGGTGGCAGTGTTTGCGCCGCCAGTCCTAATTCCATTAAAGCACTGACTCAGTGTGAGTCGCCACGTCGAAATAAAGAAGATATTTGGCTTAATGAGATCTATGAACTGGTGACTTAAACATGTTTGAATGGGTAAGGTCTTTAGGGCTCAGGGGCCAAGCATATCAACGTCCTAACCGCCTAGTGCAGCGGGGCTGCCGTAGCTCTTTCGTTTAGAGACATCTAAGCTAAGGTCACCGACCTTCATTCAATACTTACAACCAGTACGAGTGTAGCGGATCGCCAACCGCTTACTCCAAACAGTAACGGCAACCTTAATCAAGGCAAATGAACTCTTCCATTCAAACTGTTATTTGTATTTCTTTGTTTTATTGCTGCAGAGCCACCTATATCTAGATCTATAGGTTTTTCTACTTAAATAATGCATAAATACTGGCAGTCGAGCCACGTAATGACTTCTTGGTAAGGTGTACCTGGTCACACCATCTTGTGTGACCCACCCTCTAACTCCAGGGTACGTGTAACCCCGTTCCACCCTCCCCCATCTAAATTGTGACTGTCGTACGGAGCTCGCGTGTCTAAGACACCTCTACATCCCCAGGGTTTTCTGCACGAATTCTCTGCTCAATAAGCCCTGTGTCTAGATCACGAAAGGCACCCAGCCTCGCTGGCTACGAGAGCGTCCGCGGGCGAAGTACTTTTTCGTCACCTGCACGCGGTGCAACTTTGGACAGCACGTCCGCGAATTCAAGGATAGCGCATCCCACGCCCTCCGCAACCAAGCACTGTGCTCGCCGCGGACAAAGAATTAACTCGTCGAGGATTTAAAGGAAGTCGACCACGAGTCGGTCAATACTCTTCCAGGAAGGGAAGAAGAGGAGGGCGAGGTGCGCCAGCGGCGCGACCTGAGCCCTGCTCGAACCTTGCGGACATTTGTTCCGTTTTTCGACCACTCGACTTCCGGAAGAAGTGGTATCATTACCAATCGCCTCGACGAGGCACAGAAGCAGCGGCTGCAGGTTTTCACAAGGCAACTCTCATGCGTTCGCATCCAAGGACGATCCTAGACCCGCGTGTGTGATACGGCTTCTGCTCGGCGGGTCCTGCTACTGAAGCGAAGGAGGCGATCAATCGATCGTTAGGCGTCTACGTGGTTGGATCCCCGGCCACTACACAAGCTGATCTTGACCACCGAAATGCTCTTCGAGATCGCTTCTTGGTATTTTATGAAAAATACATGGGATAGGTACCGCGCTTGACCTCGCGCTCAAAAAGAAGGCGCTTCTGTACCCGCGATACGGACGACTCTTGCCGTGCTCGCCCTCGCGAAACCGCTGCAGATGACGAAGAGCTCTTTGATCGATGGGTGTAGCGGCACTGGAAACTCTCCTTGCTGCCCAACTTACAGCGGAGCCACAAGAAGGTGGACGTTCGCGTAAAACGCCATTTTCGATTCAAGTTTGCCAAACGCATGGCGCAACGCTGACGCTTTACGTATTGTCGCCCTGCGGTATATAGAATAATCCATCACGCTCCCACGAGCTCTGTGATTTCTTACACGGGTGAGTCTACGACCACCGTAGCTCAGGGCCACACCTTGAGCTCAACTTATGGACCTTCGGCTTCTCTGGCTAGTGCAGAGAAGTGCGGGGTGTATTACGACGTGATACGTCTGATCCCTCTATTCATTAGCGACCATGACGTCTGGGCAGTCTTGCCGAAGTGGCACCTCAAACACATACGAGTTCTCGGAGTCGAGGTATTCCCGCCACTTCACAAGATACTGGGTTTGCCCTGTCGACGATATTAGCCCATAAGATGTTCCACGTGATATTGGATACCACCGTTCCCGTCGAGAAGAGTTGGCGGCGGACGATGACGACTTTTTCGATCGCCGTTCGGTGACTCACAATGCTTTTCGAGCTCTTCAGGACAATGTCTGGTGCGATCGGGACTTCGCTGAGCATCATGCTGAGGTCGCATACCGCTATGCGGAAAATCTCGAGAGTTTGGAGCTCTTGGTGCTCCGACTACCTCACTTTGAGGTTTATCGCGCTCGTATGAGCGTCTCCTACCCGTCGAGCAGACGAATGGGGCACTTCGTGCGATGGTGGAGCGCCTGAAGCCGTTAAAGATGGAAATCATTGCACTCCGCGCTCAAACCCAGTTGCTGATCTAGCCTCTGGGTGGTCAAGCGCCTGCGGGCTCCGCTTCGGCTTGCGCAAGCCCACATAAAACACGGTGGGTGCGCATCCGTTATACTCCAGGCTTCGCTTGGCAGGAAGGTTATTAGCAATTGATAAAATCAGGTCTCCGACCTCGAAGTTTTCAGCATTTCTGCTGCTTCTTCCTTCTGCATATTTCGTCTACATGGCTCGGCCTTCAGCCACCGCATCGCGAACGTGTCGAAGGACACTCAGTCCGGTAGACAGAAAGTCATCGACTTCTTTACAAACGGTGAGGGGGCTGACATCAGCTGGCCGTTCAGCTATTCCTTTCCCACCCATCCCTAAGCCATGGGATGGCGGCGTCAGCGGACCTTAAGGATTAACAAGCCTTTCACGTAGAACGGCGAGTATTCGGTTGATGAATGAACTGCATTGTTCAGAGCAAACTTTACGAGTGGCAACATAGCACTCCAGTGTCGTAGCTCAGACGCTGCGAAGAACGTCTTCAACGACGCAATTCACGCGCTTAGTTTAGAACATCGGTCTGCGGATGGTCCGCTGTTTACATCGTCAACTTTGTGCCCAGCGCTCTGAAGATTGTAGACCATAAACAGCGTTGCTGTAACGACACCGTCGATGGTGTCCGGAACTACCGCAAGATGAGCCATCGTGCTCAAAAGGTCGACGAAGACCACGCCACCCATGTTGTACGCCGAGTCCTTTGGCAGGCCAAACTCAAAGTCCATACTCATACACTGCCAACACGCCGAGGGTATCGGTAGACTGGCCAGCGGCGCCGCCGCATTCGGAAAGGTTTCACCCTCTGACACGTCTCACACGTGCGCACATATGTGCTCGTCCATTTGTACAGCTTGGGCCACCAGTGGTGGCAACTCACTGAGCTGTACATCTTCTCACGACCGAGATGACTACTGAGTGGGGTGTCGTGGGCCTCATAGAAAATACACGTTTCAAATCCTTATCATGAGAACCCACAATTCGTGGCGTATCCGTTGAATCGGTGCTTCAATACAGCAACCCGATATTTAACGAATATCGGTGTAACCATGCACGCAATCGCGACGACACTTCTTATGTCCGAGTTTTCAAACTTCTTGCTCCCGAAAGCCTAAAGCAGCACTACACACATACTACCACCAGCGTATGCGGCGCGAATCGATTCCGTCACTGAATACGTCACCGTCTTGGTATGAGCAAGCTCATAATTTGGCTTGCGCGACAACACATCAGCCCAAGTATTCTGCTTTACTGGCTTATACTTCACCTCGAAGCTATATTCTGTAAAGGATGAGAGTCACCTGGTCATCTTCTGCGAGAGGCGAGTCAAATTAACCGCAGTGCGTAACGACGCATGATCTGATAGATCAAAAACGGCTTTGAGCCAAGCAGATGCATTCTGAACTTGACTAGTGAATACTTCATCGCAAGTAAGCAAGTAATTTATTGTCGTGGACTGGGTAGTTCCTCTCCGCAGCCATAACCTGGAGAGATTTGAACGCGACTACCTGATCTCGCCCCTCGGTGTCTGCTTGCAGCAGTGCACAGCCGATGGCAAAGTCCG